CGGGGTTCTTCCCCGGGCGGGGTTGCGGTGGCGGGAGTGCGGTGCGAAGGCGATGCGGGGGCAGGGTTGCGGGGCCGGTGGCGGGCCTGCGGGGTTAGGCGGCGGGGTACCCGGGGCTGGGCGGCGGCGGGGGTCGTCCGGCGGTGGCGGGGGTCCGGGGTCCGCAGCCTAACACCGGCTTTGCCCCCGGGGATCCCCGCTCGACAACGCTGGCAGCAATAGAAAATAAAAAAAAGGAGAAAAAACAAATATCACTTGCATACCTCTACCTCTTCCACATTCGTTGTCAGTTCGTTAGGGTTCCCAACCAATGGTCCCAACAGCCAGCAAAAATTCGCAATAGCAGAATAAAAAAAGGAATTTGGATAGCCCCTCAACCATAATTCATGTTTCGGGGTCAGCAAGAAAGCAACTTCCGTATTTGGAACCGAAGAAAAAGTCCTAGCTCGATGCAAAAAGGAGATGATGACAGCCAACTTTTGTTGTTTACTGGAGTACGAAGAAAAGACATGGACAAACTGGAAGACCAGGCCATGATCCAAAAACAACGGCTGATTCTTGTGGGTAGCAAAGCAGGCCACCCGAACAGGATCCTGAAAGATCTTAGCCACACCGCCAATGTAATCCCAGTTGTTCAAGAGTTAAATTGAAGTCGTAACATTGCCGAAAACGTTCAATTATACCGGAAGCGGAAAATCCAGACGACAGTGCCAAAGTATGACATATGACAAAAATTGAGACATCATTAACAATGCGGAAACATTTCACCAACCGTCGATCATTACCAAGTGAAGTCAGGAACCAGTAGTCATTGAAAGCGCAGAGTAGACAGGCCAAAGCAGGACTGGTTGTCTTGCCCATAGGAATATCAGCAGTTTGTTTTAACAGATGCCTATGTATGTTCTAACTCAAAGGCCACGAACAGAAAAATGTCCTTGAAGTCAATCAGGAACCACCCAATCTCACCTCTTCCCTTTGTTAACCTAGCAAACTTCTCATGTGACCTTACCAAAACGCTCTTGAACTGCTCCCCTTCCCAATAATTCGTAACCCATTGAACGACATTAAGAATCGACGAGTAGGAAAGATTGGAAAACATTTCCTTGATATAAAAAGATGCCCCAACGAATGTCTCACCCTTTCGTAAGCTTTAATTCAGAGAGACGATTCCAAGCACAAAATCCATAATACACCGCAAATTGAAATGAAAATTA